CTCCCATGATCCCTAGCTAGAAGGACCAGTGCTCAGGGATGATGGGAACTGTAGTGTCAAAACATCTGGAGGGCCAACTTTGAGGAAGCCTGGCTTAGGGCCACCAACTTGATAGGTAGACAATTTCTAGGCTGGTCTGTCCACCGGCTCCTGTCCCTAGGTGCTCACAGGTCTGTTTCTCAGGTTCACCCTTGCCATATTCTTTTTTGAGGAAGAGTATAAGAGGAAAGGAGCAACAACAAGGAGTTTGCTGGCCAGAATAAGTCCGATACAGAGACCGAAGGGGGACAGCTGAAAAGGACCTGCAAGGGAGAAGACAGGAGATTTAACACCAAGCACAAGAGTCTGTCCGAAGACGCTGGCAAGGTAATCTTCAGAGAACTTACAATAGAAAGGCAGTAAAAGCAAGCTGCTGATCTTAACACTTCACTGTGATTGGAGAGTGTTGGGTGAGATGCTAGCCCTGAATTGGACGCCCGAGCTATCAATCAGCTCCCCGCTTCCTGGTGTTCTCCTTATATGGTGTCATTCTGCAAGACTTTGGTGGCAGGCTGTCTGGCTTTCTTAGAGAGTGTTTTGAGCCCCAGATTGGTCTAAACTGCCCTGATTGACCCATCTGCTTCAGATCAATCCAGAAATGCACTGAACTGGGACCAGCATCAAAATGTCACCTTGAACTCTCTGATAATGACTCCTGCTTTCCTTGGATGGGGTTAAAGTTGGGTATGTGAATGTGCAGAGAAAGTACCGTATTTTTCGCTCTATAAGATGCAGCCGACCATAAGACGCAGCTAGTTTTCGGTGAGGAGAACAAGAAAAAAAAAAGTTCTCTTCCTCTCTGCTCAGCGCCTCTCCAGCAAACGGGAGGGAAATGGAAGGGCTCCGTTTCTCCTCCTGCTTTTGCTGAAGGGGCGCTGCACAGCTTTCCCTCTCTGCGCAGCGCCCCTTCAGCGATCCCCTTCCATTTCTCTCCCGCTTCACTGAAGGGGCGCTGCGCAGAAGGGAAAGCCGTGCAGCGGCTTTCCAGTGAAGCGAAGCCAGGAGACCAAGCGGGATCGGTGCGCACCAACCCCTCTTGCTCTCCTGGCTTTCAGCGAAAGCTGCGCAGCCTGCATTTGCTCTGTAAGACGCACACACATTTCCCTTACTTTTTTAGGAGAGGGAAAAGTGTGTCTTATAGAGCGAAAAAATACGGTAGTATATTTTACAAGGCTTAATCTGTTGCTCCACAAACATTGCCCTTCCCCCCCACTGGCATGTGGCCCTCATAAAGTTTCCTGGAAACCAATTCCACTAAGGGCATCCCAAACGTTTTTGGTCAGATTTGGAAAGCTAAGAATGTGTGCTGCAGGCAACAAAAGAACCTCAACGCATTTCACAAAAGAAAAACTGGTGGTGCTCAGGACCGCCCTCTAAAATGAGAAGAGGCAAGTGAGTCTTATTGGGCATCAGGTGGGCATACCATGAAGCACTATGTAGGGATCCTTTGATCTATACCAAGCAGAAGCACCTTTGGCCCTCCAAACAGGCTGAATTTCAACTCCCATCGCCCCCACCATTAGTCATGTTCGCAGGGGCTGATGGGGAGCTGTAGTTCAGCAAAGCTCTGGAGGACCAACCAGCGCCCATATCTGGTCTACACTAACTAGCAGGGCCTCTCCAGGGTCTTGGGCAGAAGCCTTTTTCCTGGGAACTATTGCATGGAACAAAGGGACGCAGGTGGCGCTGTGGGTTAAACACAAAGCCTAGGACTTGTCGATCAGAAGGTTGGCGGTTCGAATCCCCATGACGGGGTGAGCTCCCGTCACTCAGTCCCCTGCTCCTGCCAACCTAGCAGTTTGAAAGCACGTCAAAGTGCAAGTAGATAAATAGGTACCGCTCCGGCGGGAAGGTAAACGGCGTTTCCGTGCGCTGCTCTGGTTCGCCAGAAGCAGCTTAGTCATGCTGGCCACCTGACCTGGAAGCTGTATGCTGGCTCCCTCGGCCAGTAAAGCGAGATGAGCGCCGCAACCCCAGAGTTGGTCACGACTGGACCTAATGGTCAGGGGTCCCTTTCCCTTACTGCATGGAACATGGTTGCTCTTCCGATGAGCTGTAGATCCTCACCTTTAGGTGTGAAGTGGTCTGAAGATAAGAAGACCAGCACACAGACAGATATACGTGTTGACAAAAAAACAAAACATGGATTGAGGGGTGGAGGCCAAAAACCACAAAAATATGGTGTCACGACCCACATTTACCTGGCTCCATAGTGACGCTTTCACTTCCTTCATTCGGCACCCTGATGTTCAGCACTGACGTTTCAGTTGCTACAGGCTGAGAGTTTTGCGTAACCAGGCAAGTAAATGCAGACTGGTTCCTTTCTTCCGTGGCATTCAGCTTCAGGGAGCTTCTGAGGGTGAATGTCCCATCCCTGTTCTGGGCCATGGGCTCAGCCGTTCCTGTTTCACTCAGGCTGCTGTTCAGAGTCAAGGCCATGGTTGTGTCTTCTGGGTAAAACCCTTCTGCGCTGCAGCTGAAGGTCACCGATTCGTTCAGCGGGACGGGGTTGGCTGGGTTGGCTTCCAGCTTCACTCTGGGTGGAACTGCGTGGACAAAGGCAAAGAAATCAGAATGAGGATGGACCTCAATACCCCTGAGGGGAAGTGGTTTGCCAGACTCCAGTGTGGGCTAGAATTGCATTCCTGGTAGAGGTGGATATCATCTCCTAACACCAGAACTTGGGAACAACCAGTGAAGCAAAATATTAGAAGATTCAGGACACATAAAATAAAGTCCTTCTCCACACAGCCTGTAAATGATGGAATTCATATCTGCAAGAGGAACTGACAGTCACCAACTTGGATGACTTTGAAAGGGAGTTAGACAAACTCATGGAGCACAAGACCACCAATGGTGACAAGTCACAGTGGCTTTGTTCTCCTCCCCTCTTGGAGGAAGTAGGTCTCTGAATAACCAGAGGCTGGGAATCTCAAGTGGGGAGAGGGCGGTTGTCCTCATGCCCAGCTTGTGGGCTTCCCACTGGGGTACTGGGTTGGCCCCTAAGGAAAGAGAATTCTGGATGTGGTGGGTCTTTAATGTGATCCAGCAGCCAGGCTCCCCTTATGGCCTGTGTGGTTTTGATTTGCAGTATAAGGGGGAAGGGACAGATATTCCTCAAAAGCAGCTTCCTAACCCCATCAGTTCAAAATTTTGCCCTTTGATCCTATCGGGTTGTATCTAATGTTAGAGTAGACCCACTGAAATTAATGGACATGGGAAAACTTTGGTCCCTTTTATCCATGGGTCTACTCGGAGTACAGGGCTCCTCTCAGATTTCATTATCAGTTGTTCTTGGATGGACGCTGGTGGGCATGTGGACTGTGGAGACTGGACAAGCATCAAACACACATCTGATCTCCTTCAAAATTGGTGTGTGGCTGTGTCTTAGCGCCCATCTTAGTAGCAGGAAATGCTTCCCCCTTTTAAATTAATGCACCTAAGGGCCGAAGTTAATGCTTCTTATGTACCAGTGGCAATTTTTTTTCTTGGAGCAATTGAGAGCAAAGAAGCAGTATAGTGGAGGCAGAAGGGGCACCTGCCCCTTCCCATTTGTCCCCCTCCAATGGAGCTTCTCCAGCAAATGGACCAGCAGGTGCCTGTGTCTAATGTATAGCTTGGCTCCAAGTTGCCACCTCTCCTTTAGAGAAAAGGCTCATCTCTGCATGCTGAAGTCATGGAGAAATCCCTTTGGCAAGAAAGTCCACTGGGGGTCTCCAAGTCTCCTGGCCAATCAACTCCAAGCCCTTGGTAAGCCAGGAGAACCCATTCATACGTACTAAAACCCTCCAAGTTACACCTGGATATACTATTCTCAACTCTACCAAGGAAAGCAAATCAAGCCACAGATGAGAAGCTTCATGATGCCCCTTTTTCAAATCTTGCTTAAAGTCTTAGTAGACTCTTAAACACCCTTGTTGGATCAGCCTTTGGAAGCATGGTAATGCATAGTGGAGATTAATTTATTCGTTCAACTGATCTCCTGCCCTTTCTCCCCAAAGACCCCAGAGCGTTAAACCCCTCTCCCAATTTCTTCTCCCTGGCACCCCAGATCTGCAGCCCCTTCCCCATCCTTGCACTTGGTAGCAATGCAGAAGGGGAAGCATTGCTGATCTGCCTTCTGAACACTGAGCACAGCGGCCGGTTCTGGAGAGGCAGAAGCGCATGGCGCAGGGGAGAGGTGCTGCGTGGCAGCAGGAGTGCAGGATTGGCTCCACCTGCATGAGCACCATGAGCACCTGCCTTGTTCTTTTATATATATTTTTTGAAATAATTTTCATTTGATTTTACAAGTCTAAAAATGACAACCATACATATGCACATTTGTAGATTCCTCCGAATCTCTGGACTTCCCACCTTCCCCTCCATAGGTCCTATTATTGTTAACCTTTCCAACTGATTATTATTCAAGAATCCATGTTTTACTGTATTTTTTGCTCCATAAGACGCACCTGACTATAAGACGCATCTAGTTTTTAGAGGAGAAAAGGGGAAAACCCCGTTTTTGGGGGGGATCAGCTCACAGTTGTGCAGCTTCTTTTGCAAAGGGGAAAAGTCCCCCTTTTTTGAGGGTCAGCTCAAAGTTGTTGAGCTTACTTTGCAAAGGGTAAAAAAATCCTGTTTTTATGGGGTTCAACTCACAGTTCTGCAGCTTCTTTAGGAAAGGAAAGGGAGCCATTTCTACAGTTTCCAGACAGATAATCTAATCAGCCAGTCACATGTCGCTGGGGAAACAAACAGCCTCCGTCTGCAGAACATTCAGCAGTGGAGGCCTGAGCAAGAGCCAGCGACCGACCACACATTCGCTCCATAAGACGCACAGACATTTCCCCTTACTTTTTAGGAGGAAAAAAGTGCTTCTTATGGAGCGAAAAATACGTTCTATTACTCCATTATCTCCATAGTACTTGCTACATTACAAGTGTTACTGCGATTCTGCTAATGTTTTCATCTGCTTACAAGATAAATGATAAATTTCCCCCATTCTTTGTTGACGTTTTGGACTTCTTGATCCCTGAGCTTTCTGGCCAGTTTTGCCATTTCGGCATAATCCAGCAGTTTAGTTTGACATTCTTCTCTGGTAGGGACCTTGTTTTCTTTCCATCTCTGGTTTAGCAACATCTGTGCGGCTGTTGTCGTGATGCCATGTTCTTTTATACAGTAATGGCAATGGTGCCCACCATTCTAGCAACGGTGCCGGAACAGAGTTCCAGTGATTTCTGGCTGGGGAAAAAGCTCTGCTTGTTCCCTCCCCCCTCCCCCTCAGGAACCAGCAGTGAAGCTCGCTGCTCAGAAGGCAGGTGAGAAACACCATGATACCTCAGCCGCCCCATCAAATGCAATGATCCACCACCCCACAGCCGGACCCCCACCAGTCTCTGTACCTCGTAGGATATCTCGAAGTTTGAAAAACTCCCGCAGGGGACTCTGCAAGGTCTCGTGTTCAATCTGGCAGATGAGCTGGGACTTCACATCGTCTCTTGTGAGTGGCACCTGTGCCTTGCTCAGCGCTTGGTAGGAGATGCTGTCTCCTTCTGGCAGAACGGTGGGCTCTGGGGACCCGATCCTGGTGTTGTCTTTCAGCCAAGTGACTTTGATGGCTCGGGGGGAAAATCCATCCGACATGCAGGTGAAAGTCGCCGAGGTCCCAGATAACACTCTGCTCATGGGACCCTCAATAGATGGCTGGGATGGCGTGGCTGCGGGGGAAAGCGTGACATCACCTGTCATTCCCTGCGGGATACGGCCCATCCCCAATCCAAAGGGAAATCCTTTGGGGTGCCAGGGGGCCATTTTGGAATTCTGAGATTGTGCTGCGGGCACCAGTCACAAAATGGCTGCCTGGGTGCAGGGAGGGAAGGAGGCACAACACAGAATGTCTGCCACATCTAAAAGCAGAAAAAGAGGGAAGACCACAAAATGATGTGGGCATAGAGTTGGAAGGGACCTCGAGGGTCATCTAGTCCAACCCCCTGCAATGCAGGAATATGAGCTGTCCCCTATAGGAAGTGAACCTACAACCTTGGCATTAGCAGCACTCTAACCAACTGAGCTGTCCAGGGTGACAATGGTTCTATCAATAGTAAAAAGGGTCCCTTCATCAAGCCGCCACTGTGCTTCATCAGAGGGAGATGCTCTTTGCCCCTCTCCCTCTTCCCTCAAATGCCCAGATAATTAACTGATCAATTAGAAAATCAGACCAGGCTGTGGGCGGAGTCAAACCCATCTATTCCCATGGATGACTCTGTTCCCATGGGAGACTCTTGAGAGTCCTATGGACTGCAAGAAGATCAAACTTCTCCATTCTGAAGGAAATCAGGCCTGAGTGCTCACTGGAAGGACAGATCCTGAAGCTGAGGCTCCAATACTTTGGCCACCTCATGAGAAGAGAAGACTCCCTGGAAAAGACCCTGATGTTGGGAAAGATGGAGGGCACAAGGAGAAGGGGGCGACAGAGGACGAGATGGTTGGACTGTGTTCTCGAAGCTACCAGCATGAGTTTGACCAAACTGTGGGAGGCAGTGGAAGACAGGAGTGCCTGGCGTGCTCTGGTCCAGGGGGTCACGAAGAGTCGGAAATGACTAAACGACTAAACGACAACAACATTTCCATGGAATACTAATACTAATTTATTATTTCTACACCGCCCATCTGGCCAGCCACTCTGGGCAGCTTCCAACAAAAGATTAAAAATACATTAAAACAGAATAAAGACTCAGGTATGTTGCAGGCATCCTGAGAGCAGTTTCTTAGAAAGGATAGCCATAAGAGAACTTGCTAGAGGGAAAACAGGACCACCTGGCCCCTGGGACTCCCTCAGGCCACACCCCTTCTTCCCAGGCCATGCCCTCATTGGTCCTGGTTTGCTGGCCTGGTAAAATTTCACATTGGTCCCTCTCCCACTTTTCGACTCTATCCCGTCCACTGTCATGTGCTCCTTTGAAGTTGACCAGTAGGGAATACAGTCCTTAGGATGAAAAAGGCTGTCATCTCCCCCCCTCACTCGCCCCACAACAGGGTCTCCATTGGGCTGAGGTTCTGTACCGGTTAAATTTACGTTGCACGCAGATGGTTATAAGCGTAGATTTTCAAAGAATGAAAAGCAACTTTGGGACCCTTGGGGAAGGGGAAGGAAATAGATTTTTGTGCAGAAAACCCCCCAGCAGGGAAGGAGTGATGTGCCCTTTCTCCTCTCATCACTGCTTCACTCAAACATGCCGCCCACCAAGGCCATTTTTCACTTTTTAAAAAGGTCTGAGCCTCATTAGATGCCTTTGCTTTTCAACATAATGTGGAGCTTCTGGGGCGAGGGGGGCAGATAGTCCTCCTTGGAAACAAGGAGAAATTGAAGGATACTTACCAATCACGGAAACCTCAGTGCCCACTCCCGATTTAAATTCTGTTTCTTGGGATCCTGCCCTGTACTTGACACAGTAATAGGTCCCAGCATCCTCAGGTCGGATGTTGCTGATGCGGATGCTGAAGTCTATTCGTGATCCAGGAACAACCCTGGTCACACGTGGGGGATATTGTCCTCTATCACTGTAAATGGGCTGCTTTCTGTCCGACCCCTTGTGCCATTTCACGCCTCCTGGTGGACCAGTTCCTTTTACTGTACACGTCAGAGTGAGGGTCTCTCCTGCTGACACAGACAAGGGTCCTGGGGGCTGCAGAACTTCCAAATCTTGGCCTTTGGCACCTGCAGCAAAATGAGTAGCACGTAACCTCCAACATTTCTCTGATGAAAAGAGGGACTTCCTATTCCTTAATAATGATTTTACTATTTATACCCCACCCAACTGACTGGGTTGCCCCAGATACTCTGGGCAGCTTCCAACATATATAAAACCATAATAAAACATTAAACATAACAAAATACCTTCCCCATACAGGCCTGCCTTCAGACAGCTCGGGGGTTGGAGAACTCCGTCCCCTCCAACATTTATCCAATGGAAATAGGGACGTCCTAAGGAAAAGCGGATGGGACGCGGGTGGTGCTGTGGGTTAAACCACAGAGCCTAGGACTTGCAGATCAGAAGGTTGGTGGTTCGAATCCCCGCGACGGGGTGAGCTCCTGTTGCTTGGTCCCTGCTCCTGCCAACCTAGCAGTTCGAAAGCAGTTCAAGATGCAAGTAGATAAATAGGTACCGCTCCAGTGGGAAGGTAAACGGTGTTTCCGTGCGCTGCTCTGGTTCGCCAGAAGCGGCTTAGTCATGCTGGCCACATGACCTGGAAGCTGTACGCTGGCTCCCTCGGCCAGTAAAGCGAGATGAGCGCCACAACCCCAGAGTTGGTCATGACTGGACCTAATGGTCAGGGGTCCCTTTACCTTTAAGGAAAAGCGGGACATTCTGTGATCAAATTAGAAACCAAGAGGGCTTCTGTAAATGTGGGACTGTCCTTGGGAAACAGGGACACTTGGAGGGTCTGATAACAGCATCTTCTTCTTTTTCTCCAGACTTTGGGTTGTGTTAAACATTGTTTGTGTGTGAGTGAAACAGTACACCTAGGCAGTCAAAAAAAATTTTTTTGGGGGGGAGGGCTCAGAAATTATCTCCTAATAATACTTGATTGTAATTTTCTTTCAAGATCAAATCAATATTGTTTGATCCCTTGTCATGGGGCCCCTAAAAGATGTGGGGCCCATAGGTCAGTTCCTGGCTATTTGGAGTTGAACTGTCTTTCACCCATGGGGCAGAGATTCGTTTTCTGCTTCTCCCCCTAGTACCCCCCCCCCCGAGTGCACCTTGAAATCTGCTTCAGAGGGTTAGAGCAGAATTTGGCAGTCCATAAGGGGCAGCAGAAATGGAGGCAGTGAGAGATTTTACTTTCTTGGGCTCCATGATCACTGCAGATGGTGACAGCAGTCACAAAATTAAGAGACGCCTGCTTCTTGGGAGAAAAGCAATGGCAAACCTAGACAGCATCTGAAAAAGCAGAGACATCACCTTGCCGACAAAGGTCCGTATAGTTAAAGCTATGGTTTTCCCAGTAGTGATGTATGGAAGTGAGAGCTGGACCATAAAGAAGGCTGATCGCTGAAGAATTGATGCTTTTGAATTATGGTGCTGGAGGAGACTCTTGAGAGTCCCATGGACTGCAAGAAGATCAAACTTATCTAATCTGAAGGAAATCAGCCCTGAGTGTTCACTGGAAGGACAGATCCTGAAGCTGAGACTCCAATACTTTGGCCACCACATGAGAAGAGAAGACTCCCTGGAAAAGACCCTGATGTTGGGAAAGATTGAGAGCACAAGGAGAAGGGGATGACAGAGGACGAGATGGTTGGATAGTGTTCTCGAAGCTACCAGCATGAGTCTGACCAAACTGCAGGAGGCAGTGGAAGACAGGAGTGCCTGGCGTGCTCTGGTCCAGGGGGTCACGAAGAGTCAGACACGACTAAATGACTAAACAACAACAACAACAACAACAAAGGGGCAGTGGCAGAAGGAAAGGAAGGTGAAATCTCACTGCATGCACAGACATCCAGACATACAAGGATGCATTTAATCCAGGGAATGAAAATGGGTAAACAGAGACAAGATGAAGGACAACAAAACCCTGCTCACCTCAATTCTTCTCCAAAGCATTTCTCCAGAGGTGCATGATTTATGCAAGTATTCCAGTTCCAATAGTCATGGCACTCCTACTTCAGACTAGCTGGCAATGATTATTTTTTATTCTCTTTCTATGTTTTTCTTAATTCTCTCTCATTTTAGCAGGCAAAAATTAATGCACCTCAAAAGCTGTTACCAAGTACTGCCAAATACTAACTGCTACCACATGCCTCCTATCTCTCACTACATTTCTGTTATGAAATAGTGTTGCATATGTGTTGAGAATTTAAGGTCTCAAATATATAAATCAAATGTTCATAAATGTACAGGACAAACACATAAATAAGTATATAAACCATGTGTCTGAAACAGGAGAGCAATCCTGAAGCCATTTTGACCCTCCCAGTGACCTCAAATATTTCTGCAAGGAAGAAGGAAATGGGGAAAACCTTCCCATTGCCTCTTTGCTTACAAATCTTGTCTTAAGGGCGTATTTGTGTATGAATAGGGTGAGCCTGTGACCTGGATTCAGGAACTAAGTATTTAGCATCTCAAAAGAAATGGGCCAGGCCGCCCAGGTGAAGCAACCAGTGACCATTATCAGGTATCCTGACAAACAGGATTTCTGTTGGAGACCACCTCCTTCAGTGATGTATGTATGATGTTTTGAGGGGTGGTCTTGAGCTACAGGGAGGGCACTTTCAAAAGTCTATATAAGGGCTTGTGCACCATTGTTCTGAGTCCCTCCTTCGTGTGGTGAGTGAGGCCCCTGTTGCAACAGTTAATAAAGATCAGGCTTACTAGTGCCTTGCTTCTCAATATTCTCTGGTTAGCCTCTGTTATTTTCTCCTACCAATAGGGGACCCACTTAAGGACTCTCGATGGGCTCTTGGATACCCCATAAGGGAAAAGGAGCAGTTTTTTCTTATGTCAACATGAAATCTGTTCACAGAGAATAATTGATGGATAATCAGGGTGGGGAATGGTTTCCACTCTAACCACAGTCCTCTAACCTGAATATTTTGTTTGAAAAGCTACAAAGCCGTGATTTAAAAAAGAAGAACAAAGACAAATCTTGCCTTGTGTTTTATTACTTTGTTACATTGAAAGCAGGAATGGGGAACCTATGAGGAAGATCTGAAAATGGGGGCGTTCACTGTTGCAAAATTGGGGAAGCATTGCAATTCATCTTCAGAAACAACAGAATCAATGTCCTATGAGAGAACTTGCTAAGGCCTGACTTTTCAATGAAATGTACAAGTTCAAAACAATGCAGACTCTGGAGACTTTGAGATATATATGCTTATGAATACTGAAAGGACTGGTCCCTCCAAATTTGCCACCTTTGGTCATGTCCACCACAAGTGCCTATAGCATTATTCTATTATTATTATTACTACTACTACTACTTCACAAAAGTTACTCAAAGCTACTTACAAGCACTATCTAAACACTAAAGCCAATTGCAAGAAACACAAGCATTAAAAATCTAGAAAAACACATCTCTACAAATGCAAGTTGGGTGTAACAGATCCGGCAGCACTAAAAAAGGCCACAAGTACTTAAAACCTTCTATTTCAAGGCCAAAAAGCTCAGGTAAAAAGGGAGAGCACTCCACAAATGTGGAGCCACCACTGAAAAGGCCCCTTATAACACAGGCACTCCCGTAATAGAGGCACACAGAGAAGGACCTCAGCTGACAGCCACAAGTTCCCTATCTTTTCTTGCTACACCGAGGCTCACCAACCTGGTGCCCTCCACAGCCAACTCCCAAAAATATTGGGGGCACCAGAGTGGCAATTTCTGGAAAGTTGTAGGTCATACTAGACTTCACCATACCTAGAAATCTGTGCTAGCCTGCAAGTTCAATGTCTACCTTTAAACACTCACCGAACATTTGCAGGAGAAGGAGCAGCAGCAGAAATGAGTGAGGAGATGCAGAGAAGGAGCGCAAAGCAGCCATCGGGGTGACAGAAAGGAAACCCTTCTGTGCTGTGTCTGAGCTCAACCTTTTTACATCAGATATTGCCTCCGCAGAAGGGAAGAGGAAATGGTTGCCTCATCTAGTTCCCAGCAATCCTGTTTAGATTATTTAAAAGCCCCCAAAATTGCACAAGAGCGGAAGTTGCAGGTCACAGAATCACAGAACTGCAGAGTTGAAAGGGACCCCGCGGTTCATCTAGTCCAGGGGACAGCAACCTTTTTCAGCTGTGGGCTGGTCCACTGTCCCTCAGAACCATGTGATGGGCCAGACTATTATTTTTTTTTGGGGGGGGGGGAATGAATGAATTACTATGCCCCACAAATAACCCAGAGATGCATTTTAAATAAAATCACCCATTCTACTCATGTAAAAACACCAGGCAGGCCCATAAATAACCCAGAGATGAATTTTAATGAAAGGACACATTCTACCATAGCTGTCAATTACAGATTTGAAAATAAGGGACCAGCAGCCTTGAAAATAAGGAAACCAGCAGCCAAAATAAGGGATTTCAGTCAACCAGTTAAAAGGGACCAGATAAGTTGGGAGAGCAGCGCCGGTTTTTAGCCCTTCGTTTCCAGAGGTTGCTGCTCAAGACACCAGCCGATGAAACACTGCAATTAAATAACTACAAGCAGCAACCACTTTTCACGCAAAACAAAGTCCAAGCTACGAAGATGCTGCTGCAGTACTGTATCTTTTCTCTCGTGCTTCCATCTGCAGCTCTCAATTCCATCAGGTGGGGCGGGAATAGCGCCCGAAGTAAACCAGCAGATCAGACCATCTATGCTAGTCTACCACTACAAATCTATGGGAGAAGCGCTTGCGGTCCTTCCCTGGTAGCCCTTGGAACACCTGCCCGCGCCTCCGCCTCCTCCTCTTCCCTCCTCTCTCTGAACTGCTTTCTCTATGGTTGCCCTCGCTCTCCTCTCAAGGCTCCTCATCAATTCATAGACCATACCAGGCTGCCCATCTCATTTGGGGCCTTCGGCGGCGCAGCTGCAGTACAGCCTAGCGAGCGCCGGCGGCGTAGGGCAGAGGGGAGGCCCCAGGCAGAGACACTCAGTTCGGCGGCACGAGGAGGAAGGCGGCGGAAGGGCCCGAGGTTCTATTTACAAGACCACGAGTTAGGTTGAAAATAAAACGAAAAGCAAGAAACAAAACCCCAGCATTCAGCGGCATCTCTCGCCACATGGCACGTGAGAGGAAGGTGAGCAGGTGAACTGTCCCGCTGTCAGTTTGCATGGTCCAGTTTGGGTGGAACCAACCAGCCAACCAGAAGCTTGAGTTGCTTTTAAAGAGAGATACCCACTGACAAAGGCATTTCCAAAATACCGAACCGAGACATTGATGGATCTTGCCAGGGGGCAGAGGGGAAGAGAGAGCGACTTATGGGAAGATGCCAAGACTCCTTTCAAGGGGGGACAAGGCAGCTTCCTTCTGGCTTGGATCAGAAACCTGAAAACTTCCGAACGTGCAAGGTGCTGCCAGTGAGCCAAGGGGGCTCACAGAGAAGACCCCATTCCTACACGGAAGCTGCCGTCCCACAAACTTAAAATATTTATTTTTGGTAGCGGAAACTCCTCCCACTCTAGCTGTCAATCGCAAAGAGGCAAAAACGACGCAACCACTGCTTAAAGACCTTCGTCCGTCCCGGCTGCCTTTTAAGGAGCACAGCGCAGGTATTCCCAAAAGGGGGAGAAAGCGAAAGGTCCTTGCAGGTCTCACCCCTCACCCCATCCCTGAGGCGGCATCAGCCAGCAGAAAGGAACGGGGGAAGAGGGAGAGCTTTCCGGCAAGAACCGAGACCCTCAAGATACACAGTCGTATCGCCTTGGATCTTACAAATAATAAAATGAGCAGGGAAAGTGTTGGGGGCGGGGAGAATTGTCCACGAAATATTCCATCTGCAGGTTTTGTCAGGGAACCCCCTGAGATACGAAAAGTTCAAGTAAAAAAAGGGGAAAAATCGGCCTATATATTTTTCTTTTTTTTATGACTGAACTACTATAAATCCACAAGCAACTGTTCAGACATAACTCCTCCAAAGCATTCCGTCCCCTCCCTTCTCCCTCCCCACAACGCCGGCCACAAGCGGCTGCTGTTGTCCTGGGGAAGAGGGTGGAGGAAGGACCTCGGCCCCAACCCGGCTCCGGTCAGGCATCTGGGAGACGGGGTGTCCTCCTCTACTGCTGGGCTCCCGCGGCAGCTGGAACTGGCATACCTAGGGTGTTGGCAGCAGCTATCACAGGCGAGCCCGCTAGAGGCCCCAGGGGTGAAGACGTTGGCACTGAAGAAAGCCCTAGATGGGAAGGAGAAGAGTGTTAGGGCCGCGGAGGGGGCAGTTTCGCGTCAGAGCGTGGGGTCAGTGGCCCTGTCAGAGCCCAGCACCTTCGGGCCACTGCAGAAACGCTTGCTAACTCACTGCTGAACACATAAGCACGAGAAAGCATCAAGGTAAAGGTAAAGGGACCCCTAACCAATAAGTCCAGTCACGGACAACTCTGGGGTTGTGGCGCTCATCTCGCTTTATTGGCTGAGGGAGCCGGCGTACAGCTTCCGGGTCATGTGGCCAGCATGACTAAGCCGCTTCTGGTGAACCAGAGCAGCGCACGGAAACACCGTTTACCTTCCCGCTGGAGTGGTACCTATTTATCTACTTGCACTTTTTTGGAGTGCTTTCAAACTGCTAGGTTGGCAGGAGCTGGGACTGAGCAACGGGAGCTCACCCCATAGTGGGGATTCGAACCGCCGACCTTCTGATTAGAGAGCCCAAGGCTCAGTGGTTTAACCCACAGGGCCACCTGCGTCCCATAGAAAGCATCAAAGCAATGCTTTAAAAAAATTAAATCAACCTGTGATGGTTCTTTCACATGTACCACCACCTGACGATTAAGCTATCAAGTGATAAGCGAGCCATGTGCCAGCCGGCCCTTTTGGGAGTCCTGGCACTTTGAAAGCATGTGGGGGAAACGGCATTGACACTTGGGCTCTGTCTTTCATGTATCTGTGTTCCGAATGCTTTCTGGAAGCTGAATTGGCCACAGTTCATTGTGGGAAAGCGGCAACTCAAATCAATCAACCAAACTCATGCAAACAGCTGGAACAGTGGGGTTTAAAGCATTTCCCAGACTGTACCACCTCTGGCTGCGGGACTAGGCTTGCCCGGCAGAGGCCCACTAGCCCGTGCAGGCACGAGTGTGGCCGATCGTGGACCCACCTGACAACATACTGGCGCTGCTGACGGGGGTGCTGCTGCCCGGCATGTTGGTTGAGCTCATCCGAGCCTGGTCCTTCACTATGGGGTCTGCAAAACACGAACAAAACAGGCATCTTGATTAAAACAGGGGGTGGATGCACTCCTGTTATTTCCGCATCACACATACTGCATGCCATTCAGCTGATTAGATCTGGGTGATATATTGGTAAATTGCCTGAAACCAGTATGGTTCAGACACTTCAGACACTATGAGCTGGAAATGCATTGCGGTGACCGGGAAGCCACGATGTATTCCCTGCCCAAATTGCCTGCAGGCGGTGAGGAGGAAGAAGCAGCCGAAAAACATTCCATACATCACAATATATCAGCACACTGTGGTATTTAGCTGCTGGTATATCACAATGTTGAAAACCAGGTATCGCCCAGCCCTACAGCTGGTGATCACAGGTTTCATTTATTTAAGCAGGGAAGTCTCCAGCCACGGAAGCTGTGAAGAGAAGCTGGAATATGGATGGGAAGGCCTGGCAAGAATCCCACGTCACACATGTAGCCTTGCATATTGGGAAGACAATTATTGCTGGAGATGCAGCTTGGTGGTCAGGGTTTGGCATGACAACTGCTGAATTACTCTCTGTTTCCTAACAGGTATAGTTCACACAAGTTGCAGAACCCAGGTTTTGTTGGTAGATGTGGAAAGCCAGGGCTGCTGCAGTGCAGAGAAATCTCATCCCTGAGCTGGAGGTTATCCGGATGGAGGAAAAGAAGGCAAGGCAAACTGTCTGCCTCCTCTTAAAAACATCCCTCATCAGGATGGCAACTCGCTGGTAGATCAATTGCAGAGTGTGATTTGGGACTGGTGCGATCTAAGCAGATTTCACTATGCCCAAGAAAGCTTCCCACTGGCAGGGAAGGGAAGGGGGAAGCAAAATCGCCTAACACTTTTATTCCCACAAGCCCTTGTGACAACAGGACATGTACAGGGCGAGTCCTTTAAAAGAATACACACGTTCCACGGGGCCTCTTTTAAAAGACTCACCCTGTAATATTGAGACACAAAGCAGCATCTTCGGCTGCAAAACTGCCTGACAGTCATCTTCATGAATGTGGAATATTTTCACAAGAACTGCAGGATTCAGCTGGGCTGTTTGGGAATCATAGAATCATAGAGTTGGAATAGACCACAAGGGCCATCGAGTCCAACCCCCTGCCAAGCAGGAAACACCATCAGAGCACTCCTGACATATGGTTGTCAAGCCTCTGCTTAAAGACCTCCAAAGTAGGAGACTCCACCACACTCCTTACTGTCAGGAAGTTCTTCCTAATGTTTAGGTGGAATCTTCTTTCTTGTAGTTTGGATCCATTGCTCCGTGTCCGCTTCTCTGGAGCAGCAGAAAACAACCTTTCTCCCTCCTCTATATGACATCCTTTTATATATTTGAACATGGCTATCATATCACCCCTTAACCTCCTCTTCTCCAGGCTAAACATGCCCAGCTCCCTTAGCCGTTCCTCATAAGGCATCGTTTCCAGGCCTTTGACCATTTTGGTTGCCCTCCTCTGGACACGTTCCAGTTTGTCAGTGTCCCTCTTGAACTGTGGTGCCCAGAACTGGACACAGTACTCCAGGTGAGGTCTGACCAGAGCAGAATACAGTGGCACTATTACTTCCCTTGATCTAGATGCTATATTCCTATTGATGCAGCCCAGAATTGCATTGGCTTTTTTAGCTGCCGCGTCACACTGTTGGCTCATGTCAAGTTTGTGGTCAACCAAGACTCCTAGAACCTTTTCACATGTACTGCTCTCAAGCCAGGTGTCCCCCATCTTGTATTTGTGCCTCTCAAGCTCAGGGATGGGAGGGAACGGGCAGTTTACTTTCCCCCACCTCCTTTTACCGCCCCAAATCAAGCTCTGCTCCGATGAGATTTTGCCATATGCAGCGCACAGATTTTGAAGTTATTTCGTGTGCCACTGCCAACATGGCTTTTCAAGGAAGGAGAAACGGGCTCAGGATGCCCTTTCTGGTGCACCTCTCCCTCCTCCCTGACCTTTGCCCCTTTGAAAGTCTGAAAAGCTAGGCCCAGACTCACAGAAGTAAGGGTGCTCCATGGCTTCTCTCGCTGTCAGACGGGATTGGTGGTCGTATCGCAGCAACTTGTCCAAGAAATCCAGGGCCTCGGGGCTGACCAAATGCTGATTCTCGCTGTGGACGAAGCGCTCCCATCGCTTGCGGGAATGCCTATGAGCCAGGCGGGGGGAGAACACAGAGTGAATGGATGAGTCCCCCTTGGGCAGCCTCTGTTAACCCTACCAGCATACAAGTATTTCTGCACGTTGTCAGCGACTCTTAAGAATGGAAAGAGGAACGCACACAAGTAACTCAAAGTCAAGTCGCCTGCCGTTTCTACAGCGCCTTACAAAGCAGTTTCGGCACTGCATCGTTTTGGAGATGCAAGTGGAAGGAAGCGAAAAGGACATGCCCCTTCCAGACCACTAAATAGAGAGAAGACATCTCAAGGCAGCCCTGTCTAGGGAAGTTTTTAATGCTTGATGCTTTATTGTGTTCTTTTATCTGTTGGAAGGTGCCCAGAACGGCCGGGGCAACCTAGTCAGGAGGGCAGCCAACTATTATTATTATATTATTGGTTTATGGAACTGGGAGGGGATGGCCCCAAAAGTTTGTAAACCACTGTGTTAAATCAATCTCATCTTACCTGCCCAAGATGTCGTTGAAACGGGGGTCAAGCTCAATGTTGTATTTGTCAATGTAGTCGTACAGGTCTTCTGTCCCGAGCACCTTAGCTATTCTCACCAACTGTGAACAGAAGGCATAAGCCAGCATGTGGAAGGGTAGTGGCTGGGAGACTGAGCAACAAATCGGGGAGGCCTCCAGTTCAAATCTTGCCTCTGGCACGATCTCGCTTTGGGCAAGGCACTCTTCCCTCTCGGCCTCAGTCCACCCACCCACCAATACCAGGAACAACATTACTGAGTTCCCTTACAGGGTCACTGTAAGGATCACAGCCAGGTAATAAAGGCCAAGCGCTCTAAACCCTTGAAAGCACTATATGAGTGTTAATTATAATGACAGCTCATCTTTATATTTTGAGATATTAATGTACTGCCCTGTGTACAAGCCACAGGATGGTTGACAACAAGCAAATGGGATTTTTAAAAAAATCCATAAAGCAACTAATGCTTGAAAAAAAAAACAAGTAGCAAATCAATAAGGAACAGCTGCTAATAGCAGCAGCCATCAGGTTTCTCCTTCTCCAAATGCCTGCTGAAAAAGATGTGCCTGAACTATAGAGAGACGGGGCAAAATGTACTTCATTAAGGAGCAAGTTCTCTAAATTCACACAGAGAAGAGCCTCCCTGTGTCAGCCACAGAACAGGCCCAAGTGCCATTAAAAAACCTTACATGGGAACACCAATCTTGTCTTTGGTGAAATGTGATTTCCCCAAATAAGCAGCTTCAGCTGGAAGACTGTGATCACAGCCACTTCAGGCACCAGGTGGTTAACTTCCCCCATGGCAGAAACACAAGCTTCTCGGGGCAGTTGTGAGATATTAGAAAACAGGATATGATCACTGTCATCCGCCCGACAAGCCCTGGCAGCTGCTCTTCATTTCCCCGTCGAGAGTATTTGCAGGGCAAGTCAAGAGCAGTGGCGTCACAAGGTAGGGGCAGTGCACCCTGGGTTCCACGTCTGGGAGGGTGACAAGAAGGCACCCAGTGGGGTGCTTGCCCGGGCACGGTGGCGCGAGCAGCCATCGCACCGCCGCATGTGGAGGATCCTCCGTTTGCGGCTGCAGCCGCGAGCAGAGGATCCCACCACCGTCTGTACGGCTCTCGGGCAGCGCCGGTGGCAAACCGCTACACACAACGCATGCGCGGTGTCGCATGTATGCACTGTGCGTAGTGATGCCGCACATGTGCTGTACATAGCGGTTTGCCGCTGGAGCGCCGTACGGACGGTGGTGGGATCCCTTCTCCCTGGCTCGCCGTAAGCGGCTCCCGCTTTGCTGCTTTACAGCGAGCCGGGTTGGAAGGGAGGAGGATGGACGGGAGCTGTGGCTCCTGAGAGGACAAGCTGTGCAGCTTTGCCAGCGCCCTAGCAAAGCTGCACAGCTCCCCCATTTCCCCCGACAGCTCAGGGTACTTGGGAGTCGCGGATGTGAGGGTGCAGAGATGTAGGGGGGGCGGACATTCGGCACCCACCCGCGACTCCCAAGCCTACCCCGAGCTGCCGATGTGGGGGGTAAAGGTAAAGGTACCCCTGCCCGTACGGGCCAGTCTTGACAGACTCTAGGGTTGTGCGCCCATCTCACTTAAGAGGCCGGGGGCCAGCGCCGTCCGAGGACACTTCCGGGTCACGTGGCCAGCGTAACAAGCTGCTTCTGGCGAGCCAGCGCAGCACACGGAAATGCCGTTTACCTTCCCGCCAGTAAGCGGTCCCTATTTATCTACTTGCACCTGGGGGTGCTTTCGAACTGCTAGGTTGGCAGGCGCTGGGACCAAGCAACGGGAGCGCACCCCGCCGCGGGGATTCGAACCGCCGACCTTTCGATCGGCAAGCCCTAGGCGCTGAGGCTTTTACCCACAGCGCCACCCGCGTCCCCGATGTGGGGGGAGGGGGTGACAAAAAATAATTCTGCACCGGGTACCACCTGGGCTTGCTACGCCTCTGGTCAAGACATCTGTTAGGCAAGGGAGCAGGTAACCTTGGATGAACATGGGCTGGCATTAGACTGGCATACTCAGAGCACACCCAGTGACGTCTAACTCTTGAGTCTGGCTTAGCCGAATACCACCCATGTACATTGCTTCATGTCAGCTTGCAGCCAATACGTGCTAGCTAAAATCTACTGGAAACCCCAGAAACCAGATTGAAAGAGAAACTGAAATTTATATCTGTGACCCATGGTAGCACCATTCGTAAGTGCAGGTCCTAACTGGAGTCGGTGGCGATCAAATGAGAAACGTGCATGTCAGGCAATCCAGTGAATTCCTGATTTTTCCAACCCTTGGGAAGCTGAGAACATGCAGAAGTCATGGAGGAAGAGAAAGCCCTGTGCCTGAACATCACCATCCTATCTCTTTCACTCTCACCTGATCATAGTTATCATGACCATGGAAGAAGGGCTCCTTTCGGAAGATCATGCTGGCGAGCATGCAACCCAAGCTCCACATGTCCAAACTGTAGTCGTACATCTGCAAAGGAAGCAAAAGCAGGCCCATCCGTCTGGTGCACTTAGCAGGCATGAAAGGGGCAAAAAGAACATGGCAAACAAAGCCCTGTTCCGTGCGAAAAACACATCCCCACGACAAGTTGGCAGCAACCAGCTTGGCACAAAGAAAATACACACTACAGGGTGAGGAGTCCCGGTAGTTCTTCAGGGGTTACTCAAATCTGAACGCTCACTGGAAGGATTGGACTCTCCTTCATTGGAGGTTTTTTATGGCTGGATGCTTTAGTTGAGATTCCTGCATTGCAGGGGGTTGGACCCTTCCAATTCTACGATTCTGTGTTAGTGGAACCAGGCAGAGGGCCTTCTCGTTAGTGGCGCCCGCCCTGTGGAACGCCCTCCCACCAGATGTCAAAGAGAAAAACAACTATCTGACTTTTAGAAGACATTGTTGTATTTTAATATTTTGCTGGAAGCAGCCCAGAGTGGCTGGAGAAACCCAGCCAGATGGGTGGGGTATAAATAATTATTGTTGTTGTTGTTATCATCATCATCATCATCATCATCATCATCTAAAAGCAGCCCTGTTTAGGGAAGTTTTTAATGTTTGATGCTTTAGCGTGTTTTTAATATTTTGCTGGGAGCAGTCCAGAGTGGCTGGGGAAACCCAGCCAGATGGGTGGGGTATAAATAATAAAGTATTATTATTATTATGGTTCTTTCAAGGAACAACACCCAAGAGAGAGAAGCAGATTCTTTCATCTGCTGAGACAGAGCTGCTGTGACCACTGCCATGTTACAAACAGGGACAATCCATTCCTGATTCAGGCCCAGAGACTGGTCCATTGGGAAGAAGGGGGCACTTCCCCACCAACCTCAATCTGCATCCAAACCAGCCCCAACTTGCCTGCCTGTTTTCTGGCAACCAGAGGGAGCTAATGGGTGTCACCTTCAACCTCTTTAGTATCAGTGCTGACCTTGCAGAACTCAGCGAGGAGGAGCGCGGTGCGGGCAAAACCATAATTAGTTGGCTCTGGCTCCACCTGCTGGCAGCCTCCTGCCTTACACCCCTGCAAGCCCCAGATGGGCAGCAGCCAGCACTCTTTGGAGCAGGGTAAACGAAATGAACCCTCAATCAATTCCACACCCAAACTGAAAGCTAAATAGGTAAGGATGCAGTGAGCACCAGGGGTGTCTAAAATGAGAATGGAAGGAAATGCAGTTCTACCTGGAGGAGAAGGGAGAAAGAGAAACGTTCAACTGATTTTTCCAACCTTAGGGCTGAATGCGCTTGTGTTCTTTAATTGTTTGTGCTCCTTTTCCACAAACCTGATTATTTCCGTAGCTGGGACACAGTTACCTGATAATCTACGAGGAGCTCTGGGCCTTTGAAGTATCTAGAAGCCACTCGGACATTGTACTCTTGGCCGGGATGATAGAATTCAGCCAAACCCCAATCTATTAGCCGGAGCTAAAAAGGGAAAAGGGAAAGGAGATTGAGGAGGAGGAGGAGGAGAAACCTCTTTACCTTGGCCTGCATCTTCCAGTGACTGTGCAGATTGCTTGCTGCAGGAAATAACAGCATCAGAAATAAATGGAATGTTATGAAATGATGCGAAGATTTAATTGAGCGGAAGCGCAAAACGTAACTGACACCATCTGGCGTGGTCAGGGACAAAAATAGCGCAATCGAACTATTGAACTGTGAGTGAGAGGGAGGAGTAGGAGGGCAGAGGATAATTCTGCTCTGATGAGTAGCCAAGGCCTGGAAAATAGGAGTCAAACCACCAAAAAGCAGTGTTTCTCAGATGAAAGATCAATAATTACAGCAATGAATAGCTTCGGCTCAAAGTTCACACAAGGGTAAATTAGACAAGCAGGCTGGGGGGGAAGAGAAAAATACAAAACGGAAGAAACTGAAAAAAATCAATTTGACCCTTGAAGAGTTGAAATGGGAGCTGCAGAAAACATCCTTCTTCCTTCTCAGCACACCATGCGCCAGCCTTTGCCCAATCTGGTGTCCTCCCCAATGTTATGGACTACAACTCCCATCAGCCTCAGCCAGGACAGCCAATTCTCAGGAGCTATGGGAACTGTAGTCCAAAATGTCCAGGAGGAACCATGTTGGGGAATCCTGCTGCTCCTTACCGATATATTGTGAACTGAAATCTACAGATGAATAGTGTGCAAATTTAATAAATAGCGAGAATAATAAAAATAACAGTATCTTTAACATTTTACACTGTACCTTGAAATGAGTGGTCATGTTTTTCTCCCAAACGACAAACCAACCACCATCACCAGCCTCCCCTTGTGAGGTGTAGCCACAAGGAACATATCTTAGAACTTACTCTCGGTTCACAAAAAATGGCGGTGAAGTCCAATAGGCTTGACCAGTATCCTGTATGAACCAACTCTGTTCTGGGACATGCTCCAGAATGCTTGTAACACGAAAGGGTTTGCAGCACATACCCAGAGAAGGTTTGGTACGTAAAGTACTCAATGAAGGTAAAATGTCTGAACGCCAACAGGAGTTCTGAAGAAGCTAAACGTGCAAGATTTCACTCCTACCCTCCATACTAATCTCTTTTGGAAATCTCTTTTCCACTCCTGCTACTAACAGGCCACAAACACACACAGCAGCAGCGCACCAGAGGAATTTTGCTTTCGCCACAATTAAATCCCAACTAGAAACAGAGGACAAAGACCCCCAAACCTTACCTTTCTGTGCTCATGGTCAATCATGACGTTGTGGGGTTTGACGTCTCTGTGCATTATCCCCATACTGTGGCAATAATCCAGGGCCTGGGGAAAAGAGGCATGTGGATCACAAACAAGAGCCTAAGAACATCAGAACAGGCCAGCGGCCCACCTAGTCCAGAATCCAGCTCTCACAGTGGCTATAACCAGATGCCCGCGGGCATCAGAGATCAGATCCCCACCTCGCTCGTTTTAACTTTATCTGTATGAAAACCCGCATGGTGCTTTGCGGCCCTAAACAGAGCCTTCCCAAAGGTCGCAGGAGCGGAATCAAAGGGCAAGAGTGCCAGTTGAGTGGGGAGACACAGCCTTTTCACAAGGGAATGTCAGATGAAGAGTTCCCAATAGCTGGTCGAAAAGGAAGGGAGCTAATTAAACCTCCCTCAAGAGGGAGTTGCACAACTTACAACACCACAAAACAGAAAGGTCTTAGGTTCCAACCAGAAATGCTTGTGCTGTAGGTGGGATGCTAAATAAGGCTGCAGAGGCTGACTGGAGCAGGCAGGCAGGATCCATTGAAAGTTAGCCCTCCTTCCCACTGAAAGCCTCTCAGATTGCCACGTTACTGGAAGCTACAGTAGGTAGCTGTGCTGTGAAGCAGGAGTGGGGAACAGGTGGTCCTCCAGGCACTGTTAAATTACAACCGTCGGAAGCCCCAGTCACCATGCATGGGCAATGGTCAGGGATTATGGGACTTGGAGTCCAACAACATGTCAATGAGCACAGGGTCCCCACACCTGATTAACTGGGAATGTTGGGAGAGGCCAAAAGCTTCAGCAGCATCTATTGCCAAGCCTGCCCCATTGCTCTATATGTAAGGCATCAACTTCCTAGCTCCAAAGCACTGGTCTTCAACTGCTGGGGGTTGGGACCTGCTAGTGGGTCATGGCCTGATCCAAGGCAGGTTTCACCTACAGGAGCAACACCACCCTGCAAATATATGGTAGAAGATTAAGAACTGGGTCCTCAAATGCATGCTTGAGTTAAAAGTGAGTCCTGGGCCTGAAAAAAGTGGAAGGGATTTCAATCAGCGTTGGAACCTCAGATATTTAAGTTCATCGCCAAATGGCACCTTAGACCTAGGTTACGTTCGCCACAATGGAATGTCTAGGCAGAATTATTTTACTGCAGTGGGGTTTATTATTATCACCATCATCCATTTCATTTCTATACCGCTTTATATTTTGAAGAAAAAACTCAAAGTGGTTTACCACACATTAAAACATCGAGACAGTCCAGAATAAAACAAATTCAACCTTCAAGGATTATATTTCAGACTCATCTCTAAGTGGCACTTTGGCTTCCCCATATTGATCTGCCTACTTAATTTATATCGTTGCACCATAGCAGAAGTACTCTAGGAAGGCAGTGTGGTGTAGAGGTTAAGAGGGTCAGACTAGGACCTGGGAGATCAGGGTTCAAATCCCCACTCAGTCATGAAGCTGACCTTGGAGTCAGTCGCAGCCTCCTAGCCTACCTCACAGGGTCGTTGTAGGGATTAACTGAGGAGGAGGGGTAAACCTTGCACTCCTTGGAGGAAAAGGTGGGAGGTCAGTGCAATGAATAAGCTCTTCTGCTTACCTGCATAAGAAATCTGGAGGGGCCAGAGGCAGATGCAGATGTCCGCTGAACAAACTGGCATCTAGAGATCTCCACGTCGTTGCAAATGGACCCACGCCAGTTGCAAAACACGCCTAGCTAATTTCGAACACTGATTTCAACCATGTGCATGTTAAGAGGATGCCATAGGCTGCACCAAAGACCTCAAAGGGCTCTTGGGCTTATGCTCTGGCGCCGTGCTCTAATAAATCACATGCACAGTCCGCATGGCACTTGGAGCGAAGTACTGACAGCCATCGAGAACAGGCGCCAATATCCATGCTAAACATTACCAGTGCTAAATATTACTAGCACTTCTGGTAATCACGGTAATGGATCGATGGAACAAGTGACGGCTCCGAGGCAAGCAGGATCTGCCTGGGCAATGTTAGGTTACGTCTGGAACACAAAGATTCCTCAGAATAACCAATGGAAGAGAGAAATCCTTCAACTCCTCAGGGCGGCTGGTTGCCATTTCTCAGCCAACCTCATGCTTCACACGCCCCCCCCAATCCCAAACAGGAAGGGAAAAGGCAAACTCACCTTCAAGATTTCATACATGTAGAACCGGATGTCGTAGTCTGTTAACGTTTGGTATAATTGCTGTAAGACATCAACGTTAAAAAATTAAGTTTTCAAGCAACAAATTATGGGGGTTAGGGCTTTGCTTGTTTTTTTGTCACCCATTATAGGGCGTGTGATGAGGGTAATTCAGTATTTGGGGACATTATTGAGGCTCTGTCACACATTATGCAGAGACCAGTGCTTTTCCCCAAGGGGTATTCAAGGGTGCGCAGTACCGGCACCTCTTTTTGTTGCTGTTAAAAAGTGTAGCACTTACTGTAACAATTTCATGGTGAATACCAGCACCTATCGTTCTAGAAAAAAGGCACTGGCGGAAACCAACCTGGATTGCTACCAAGTGTACACTCAGGACAAAGCTGCAGCCAATCGTGACTCCCTAATGAGGGGACCTGTAAGTAACACATGTGCACCTGCATGCATGCACATTAACTACCTGCTTGCTGTGTTCATGTGCTCTTGGTTCTAGATCAGGGACGGCCAACTCCTAAGAGACTGAGATCTACTCACAGAATAAAAAACTGGCAGTGATCTACCCCTTTGTGGGGGGATCAGGGCAAAACTGTTGAGCTTTTTTAGCGAGGAAAATCCCTTTTTTTTTTTTTAGAGGTTCAGGTGTCAAAGTTGTTGAGCTTTTTAGCTGGAGATTGACCAACAATGGAGGGTGGAGTGAGGGGACCGGATTCTATTTTACCAACGCTAAGGAAAGGGAGCCAGCGATCAACCGCGATCTACCAAAACTTTGCAGGGATCTACCAGTAGATTGTGATCAACCTGTTACACATCCCTGCTCTAGATGAACAACAGAGTTCCTAACCTACCTCACAGGGTTGCTGGGAATATAAAAATGGAGGAAAGGAGGGGGAGAACTACCTGTGCTGCCATGAGAGGGAGAGACAGACACACAATAAAATAAATGAATGAAATGCCATGTACAAAGTGCCTTTTGTAGACTGAACATGGGGGTGTTACTGTTATCTGCTGGAATAAACAAACTTTTATCCGGTGGAAGTAATTGGCCTTGGGTAACTTGATCGCACTTTACCAAAAACGACTTACATTTTTAATTTCCTTTTCATTAAAATCAGAATTGGGAGGGACAACAAAAGGTCATTTGGGTTGAACCCTCTGCCGATATAGGACGTTCACTAATGGCAGCATCCCCCAAACCAGGCATGCATCCATCCTTAAATACTCTAAAACCCCAAAGGCTGAGTGACAAACCGTACCTTAAAGTCTGTGTTGTTTACATGTTCGAAAACCAAGGCTGGGGTCCGAGACTAGGAGAAGGAAACCAAAACAGTCAGTCATGTTGGGACCTTCCTTGCTTTATGGGCCTAATACTTATCAACACATACATGCCCTCACTTCTCCGCCATCGTCTGCAGAAGGTTTCAAGCATCAGACTAGTTGTAGTTACACCAAATGCAATAGCCCACATTTCCACAAAATCTAGAAGGAACTGCAGGGAGGGGGAGCTTCCTCTGAGAGAAGCTAATCTGATTAAAAGGCCTGATCTGATTAAGCAATTCGAAAATAGGATTAGAGGAAAACCAGAGAGCAAACAGGGAGCGGGGCTGTGCGGAGGCAATGCTGCATCTTATGATCAATAGATGCCTGAAATGCCAGCATGTTTTATATTTAATAAAGTACTAGGAGTTCTCCTGCTGTGTCATTACTTGGGACGACAAAAGCAGCTCATACGTGTAGACCATTCTGTGCTCTTTTTAACCTGCCACCCCATCCCAGTGAAGCATATGCTACCTCTTTCTCACAGTCAGATGGATAAACGGGGAGAGGGGGGTTTGTCATTCACAAGCTGGCCCACTCGGCAGGCTTTCTACCCACTAAAAGCACAGCCCCCCAGAGCTCTTTCACAGCCCACATTTCCTGTGAGTGCAGACAGATTATTCAAGCAGGGGCGCATTACCTCTCCTCCCTTCCACAAAAGGACCGCGTAACCAGAAATGCCGAGATAATACAGCTTGACTGCACACTTGCATTCCCAATGCTGAGCACCAGACACACACACAGAGAAAGTCACCGGTGTCAGAGACACAAGCAAAGAAGCTGTTCTTTGACAACCTATCTGCCTTGTCCTACTGGCACCTGAAGACGAACACCTTTCTCGGCATCCCGCCAGAAAGGAGGCAAGGAACTTGTGACGCTTCGATTGCTGCTGGCCCTCAAGTTCCATGATCCCTGTCTATTAGCCCAACTGCTTGGGACTCAACAGTTGAGGTCCAATGGACCTCTGGAGGGCCAAAGGTTCACAACAAAGGGTCTCAGGGCGGTTCACAACATAAAAATGCAAGGTAAAAAACACAACACAAAATAAATAATAATAAAAATAAGAGCAAAAACAACCCAATAACCCCCTTCCCCCCACATTTTTTTTTTTTAAAGGGCATAGGATGTAAGTTGGAACAACCAAATCCCTGGTTAAAGAGGAACGTTTTTGCCTGGCGCCTAAAGGTGTATAATGAAGGTGCCAGGCGAACTTCCCTAGGGAGAGCATTCCACAGATGGGGAGCCACTGCAGAGAAGGCCTGTTCTCGTATTGCCACCCTCCACACCTCTCAAGGAGGGGGCGCACAACGGAGGGCCTCCGGTGATCATTGCAGGGTCTGGGCAGGTTCATATGAAGAGAGACAGTCCTTGAGGTACTGCGGTCCTAAGCCGCTTAAGGCTTTATAGCTCAAAAGCAGCACTTTGAATTTAGTACTCGTCCAAAGGCCCAGTCCAGTCTAGCATTCAGTTTCCAGCAAATGGCAGCTACCTCTTCTTCATCTCCAGCACCTGACACTCAAAGGCAGGCTCTCTCTGCAGAAGCAGGTCCCACTGGGCTGCTATGATAACTCCTAAACACTGATGGAGCTCTCTCCCCGGAGTTTCTCCAGCCCTTTTACGAACCAACTGTCACAGCTTCCCTCTCCCCTCCGCTTACGGCGCAGTCCTGGAGCTGCTCCAGAACCTCAGAGCTACTCACCACAGGGTCTTTCACTATATCTGCAAGGGTGATGATGTTGGGGCCGCCTCGCAAGTTCTCCAAGATTTTGATTTCACGCTTGATTTTCTTCTTTTTCACAGGCTGGTGAGAGAAATGCCCGTTTACCCAAGGCAACGTTTCAAGCCCAAGTGAAGCCAGTGAGAGTGCGGGGAAAGAATCCCACTGCAGCTTTGAAAGTACTGCTGCACCTGGTTTTTATTATTAGATCTTTTTAATTTTACAAAGAACAATCTAGCTGTGAGTTCCTACCCAATTTTCATTTTAAACTGCTGACTGCAACTTGGAAGCCTGTGTCGCACCTGAAAATGTGGGTTAAAGTGTGTGTGTGTGTGTGTTTGTTTATCTTATGCACACACACCATGGATTCCTATACCAGGCCAGATGAATACTTCAATCAGCTCCTAGCATCTGATCCGAATGGAATGAATGAGGCAAGCCAGGAAGTTCACAAGCAGCATAAGATGACCATCTCATTCAACACCAGGAAGTTCAGTATTGAGATTACCGTCATTTCCACCTCCCACAGCTGGTAGCCCTAAATAAGGGCTTTCAAGTATTTGCCCGACGCTTTCTGAATGGCCCAGCAGCCATTGCAACATCGCATGAACCCATATACTAAGCTGGGCAGCATGTGAAGAAGAAATGCCACCTTTAATTTCAATGGCTGGGCCACAAAGAACCACGTCTTAGGGGAGCTGGGCTTGTTTCTCTCAAAACTGCAGAACACGCACACACACCTGTTGCATGACAAAACACTTCTTAAATAAAGGGGAAACTGAAAAACAGTTTGGAATATTGCGTGGAAGGCTGAGGTTATGAAGAAAAACATGCTAAGCCCCAAGCCCTTGAGAACATCTAAAGAGACTCTTTGGATCTTGGTGAATAAGACTTAATTGCTATCCTCTAACTCGTAATTAACAAACCGTGTAATAAATACTCAGGAGCCCAAATAGTTCAAGGCTTCCCAGACTAGTGCCCTCCAGATGTTTTGGACAGGAACTCCCATTAGCCCCAGCCAGCGCAGCCGTTGGGTCTGGAGTCCCAAACATCTGGAAAGTTTGGAGTTCACTGAAAGCTTGCATGAAGCTTTCTGCATAAGAACATGGGATACTCACCTGCCTGCCCTGTTTGCTCATTTCTAGCTCTTCTCTGTCCTTCCCACTAAAACAGGCCATCTCAGCCACTCACAAGATATTGCATGTAAACCATAAGTGCTTGTAGCAGCTTGGTCGACCAAGTGGTGAACGTCGAACCTCTTGCCGAGGCAGCTGTCGTGTCTGGGGGAAGCTAAGCCAGGCCACCTGTTTCACCATCTGCCTTAACCTTGGTCAAAGCCTAAGCTTCATCAGAGATACGCAAGGCGACTTTATTCCATTCTTGTGCTAACCCATCATTGTGGTTACTGGCTGCCTGCAGTCAGGGCTGCCCAGGCTCGAGCACACAGACCCCAAATTTGCTGCTTGAAATGTTTTGCAATTTTAGGCCTGTGTGCCTATTTTGAGTCTGTTTGCACTTCCTACTCCAATTTTATTGATCAAGCTCACACAAATAGGAATATAAACTGTCAGCAATCTAAAAGGAGATTTCCTGCTCTGCTTTATCCTAAAGTTTCACGTGCATCTCCTCAAGGTTTAAATCTGTTGCTTTTTATCCCATTCTCAGCCAGGGACGCGGACTTATAAAAAATATTGGGGGGGCCCGGGAAAGCTCATGAATAATAAATAAGCTCATGAATATGCAAATAAAGTGGTGCCGCCTCCTCGTGAGCGAATAGGGGAGAGCGTGCTGCGCCTATTAATCAGCTCCAAAGGAAATTGGGTGGAGCTTTTGCTCGGGAGGGAGGGCAGGAGGCATGCAGCCCGCCCCTCCCTGTGCATTTTGGGCTGGGGGAGGGGCGGCGATGGCGCTCTGCTGGAGGGGCGCCGGAGATTATTGGGGGGGCAGAGCCCCCCCAAACGAATTTTTGAGGGGGCTCGGGCCCCCTCAAGCCCCATGGAGTCGGCGCCTATGTTCTCAGCACACACAGTGAGTAGCATCTCCCCCTCCCCACTCCTTCGCAGTCATTTAGCGCACACACAAACACGCCACCTTCCAGGTGGAACCCTAGAAAGCACTTGGAACCTGCGAGCAGGGAGAGGAATTTTAGGATTCAGCTGCACCGCAGGCGATGTTGTGCCGCTTGCCAGATTATGTTTCAAGCAGCTTTCAGATCATGTCTAAAACTTCTCTGAGAGGCTGGAAACCACCAACTGTAGGGAAATTCCAGTCTGAAGTTGCAAGCGAAGTTCTACTAGCCAAAGAGAACAACGGCTACAGAAAGCCAACATCTGCCGCTAAGAAAGCCACTCAAAACCAGATGGTGAGCATTTGCAGAGGACGAGTAAGGCCAGGGCATCATTAACATTCAGCAAGCTCATTACTGCCTCTACTTTAGAGAAAGCTGGGCTTTATGCAAGCAGCTCTAAACGGCCATTTGGTGTCAACCTAAGGAGCGGAGACTTTAACAACTTGTTATTCCCCAAAGGGAGATAGAGGGGTTTTCAACTACTGTTGAAAATACTAGAGTGTTGTTGTATTTTCAGTCTCGTTGAAACATTTGCTTTGCCAGAAGCCCATCTGCTGCTTATGTTCTCTCAACTATTCTGAGCATTTTCGGAACATTTTCCAAATTAGTTCCAACTTCCCCCTATTTCCCTTAAATCTCTCAAAACCACCCACTTAGTTTTGAAAGCTTGCACCCCTAAGCACGGGAGTATTTCATTCCTTTCCCCCATGCCTTCTCAAATTAGGCTATTCTAATTCTTGTTGGCTTGTATGTTGTAGTGTTTCATGCTCTATATTATGTGTATATTCTTAATTCTGTATGCCTTTCATATATCCTATAAATGTAGAGCAGCTTTAAAATCTTATAAATTGGGCAAGGGGGTTTTCACTTCACTTCAATTTATTTATTAAATTTATATACCACCCTTCATCTGAGGATCACAGGCTGGTTTACAGTATAAAATCACATCAGTCATTCCACCATATACCCAGGGTACATCCGCATGACAGCTGCAGAAAATGCTGGGGAATATGGGGCTGCTAATGGCGACCCACACTAATGTGTCAGGGCAGAGGCCAGTCATTAGAGTACCACCCCACCCATCACAAGACAACATTTAGAAACCTGCCCTTAACAGTCAAATGACTCAAGGTCTTGCAAACTGGCTGTAACACGTCCCTCAAAAATATGAACTCTACGTCCTTTACAAGTGGCTACCCATTATCATGTGGGACGCAGGTGGCACTGTGGGATAAACCACAGAGCCTAGGGCTTGCCGATCAGAAGGTTGGCGGTTCGAATCCCTACGACGGGGTGAGCTCCCATTGCTCGGTCCCTGCTCCTGCCCACCTAACAGTTCGAAAGCACGTCAAAGTGCAAGTTGGTAAATAGGTACCACTCCAGCGGGAAGGTAAACAGCATTTCCGTGCACTGCTCTGGTTCACCAGAAGCGGCTTAATCATGCTGGCCACATGACCCGGAAGCTGTACACCGGCTCCCTCGGCCAGTAAAGCGAGATGAGCACCGCAACCCCAGAGTTGGTCATGACTGGACCTAATGGTCAGGGGTCCCTTTACCCTTACCCATTATCAAGAACCAATTGGACATAATGCACAAAAATATTTCTGCTTGCAGCAGCAGCCGCCAAAGCATTAGAGGCTCACCTTCAGGATTTTAACAACTACTTTTTCATTATTTGTGATGTTGATGGCTTCAAAGACTTCACTGTATTTGCCCCGGCCCAATTTCCGGACTAGTTGGTAGTCATCTTGGTTACTGTAAAGACAAAGCCAACAAAATCCATTATGCACCACTCCAAAATCACTATTTCAAAACGTGTCGCCAGATTATTCACAAAGGTGGACACATTAGAGAATGTTTCTAGAGGTCCGCCCCCCTCACTCCCCCATAAGGACAAATTTGAAGATATTACTCTGCAGTCTCCATACAGATTGATGGTGCAAGAATAATAAAATGCTATTTTAACAACAAAGCAACTTGGAACAGAGTCACAGCACTGGCCAGCCTAGACCAGTACCAGCTGCTCAACAATTCTCCAAAGTCTCAGGCAGATGTTCATCTCCAATTATCCTTTTAACAGAAATGCCAGGAACTTAATGTGATAAGTTTGTGGCCCACCACTGAGCAACAGACTCTCCTTTGAAGAGCTAAGTAGCCCCTCTCTCTACAGATTTCTTTTTTCCCCTAACAAGAGAATTCCGAAGTTCTCCCCACAACAAAATGTGGGGAATAGCACTAGGTTACATCTACTGAAACAAACAGCACTTTGCAAATGCAGAAGGAACCAGTGCCAATCCCCCAAACCCAACACGGGCAGCACCTGGCCAGTAAACTAAGGTGGGCACTTACCCCCATTCAACAACGTGCGACTCGTAATCCCAGTATTCTCGTGGTCTGTGTGTATTTACATCTGTGTAGACTCTGGCCCTGCTTGGCACAGGTCCTGACATTGTGGACAGATTGGCAGGCCGAGCTAGCTTAAGGATCTGGTGTTCACGCCGCTTCCAATTTCAGTGCAAATCGTGGTGGTGGGCCTCAGGCAGAACTCAGAATTTTCCAACTGTGGACACAAAGCGAACTATTGTTAAAATGAGGCAACACATTGAGACGGTTAATAAGGTAGTTTGCACTGATCCCTGGGGTGGGGTGGGGTGAAGAATGGCACGGCTGCTTCTCCCAGGCGTGAATTCGGTCCAAATGCCAAGTAACACTTTAACTGGTTGGCGGCAAGCATCTCAACCGCTTCTCTTTTTCAGGGTGAGATCAATGCTATCACTAGTGATGTGAGGCAAGAATATTCTCCAGAGAACATTCTCGAGAATGAGAATATTCTCTGCTAGAAAATTCTCCGGAGAATATTCTCCGCAAACTGTAAATTCTAATGTAAGAACCAGTTTTACAACCCACATTAAAAAATCTAGTAAACAATAAGTCAAGCTGTGATATTGCCACTGTAAGTAATGAATACAGTGGTGCCTCGCAAGACGAAATTAATTCGTTCCGCAAGTCTCTTCGTCTTGCGAGTTTTTCGTCTTGCGATGCACGGTTTCCCATAGGAATGCATTGAAAATCAATTAATGCGTTCCTATGGAAACCGCCTTCAGACCAGGTCCGGGGACAGTCTGTCCCCCGACCTCTTCTGAAGGCTGGGGGGGGGAACAAGGGCTTTTCTTCCCACCCCCAGCATTTTAAAAAACCCCGGGACAGCGGAGGACTTCTCCGCTGTCCGGGGCGATCTTAAAATGCTGGCGGGCGGCATTTTAAAATCGCCCCGGGACAGCGGAGGACTTCTCCGCTGTCCGGGGCGATTTAAAAGCCCCTGGGAAGGCAGGCAGGGGGGACAAAGACTTTTGCCCCCCGCCAGCCTTCAGAAGAGGTCCCTCTTCTGAAGGCGGGCGGGGGGCGAAAGTCTTTGCTCCCCCCCGCCTGCCTTCAAAAGCCTTCCGGGACTTCCGCTCTCCCGGGAAGGCAGGCAGGGGGGAACAAAGACTTTTGCCCCCCGCCCGCCTTCAGAAGGTGTTCCTGCCCCGCCGCCCGGCTTCGGAGGAGCCTTCCGAAGCCGGGCGGCGGCGGGAGGTGTTCCCGGACCTGTTTTGAAGCAAGGGGCGGAGGGGAGAAGATCGCTTCTCCGCGTTGCCGCCCCTTGCTTCAAAAGGGGTCCGGGGAGAAAGGGGAAGATGCGTGCCTTCCCCTCTGTCCCCGGACCTGTTTTAAAGCAAGGGGCAGCGGGGAGAAGATTGCTTCTCCCCGTTGCCTGCCCCGCAATCTCCGAGGGGCAGAGGGGAAGACGCGCGCCTTCCCCTCTGTCCCCTCTTTTGAAGCAAGGGGCGGAGGGGAGAAGATCGCTTCTCCGCGTTGCCGCCCCTTGCTTCAAAAGGGGTCCGGGGAGAAAGGGGAAGACGCGCGCCTTCCCCTCTGTCCCCTCTTTTGAAGCAAGGGGCGGAGGGGAGAAGATCGCTTCTCCGCGTTGCCGCCCCTTGCTTCAAAAGAGGTCCGGGGACAGCGGGGAAGATGCCAGCATTTTAAAAAACCTTGGGACAGTGGGGGACTTCTCTGCTGTCCGGGGCGATTTTAAAATGCTGGCAGGCAGCAGCGAAGCCTTCGCTGCCGCCCGCCAGCATTTTAAAATCGCCCCGGACAGCGGAGAAGTCCTCCGCTGTCCCGGGGTTTTTAAAAAACCTCTCCGCCCCCCCGCCAGGCTTCGGAGCAGCCTTCCGAAGCCTGGCGGCGGGAGGAGGTCTCTCCGCCCCCGCCAGGCTTCGGAGGAGGTCCGAGGACAGTGGGGAAGACGCGCTGCGCTTCCCCGCTGTCCCATTTCCCTATGGGCTTTCGTCTTGCGAAGCAAGCCCATAGGGAAATTCGTTTTGCAAAGCGCCTCCAAAACGGAAAACCCTTTCGTCTAGCGGGTTTTCCGTCTTGCGAGGCGTTCGTCTTGCGAGGTACCACTGTAATGTTGTTGGGGTTTTTTTTTTATCCAGATGCATTACTGGGTATTGTGTCATTCACCATAGACAGTTCTGAAATGTTAGCTGCAGAAAACATATTTTTTTTAAGCTTTAAAAATGCTATTCATCGCTTTAACGCTTTACACACTTTAAAGTACCTAGGCCTATACAATTATGTGTAACAGCACATGAGGTGCCTTTGATTTAAACAGTTGACGTTTCTATATTTTTATTTAGTGCCAGTAACTGGTTTTTACAGTGCCATTCAATGGTACAAGATGCCACTTACCAGAGGTTGGCATACTGAAATATAATATCATATAATGATAGTAAATTTAATGTTAATGGCTTCTTTTTTATATGTATGCATATCATTTTCTTTATCAAGCTGTGTTTTAGTCACCAAAACAGTTATTCAGTGTCAGAGCTATTAGAAGAACAAGATAGCCTATTACTGAATTTACTTGTTTCAAACCTTAACATGCCAATTGTATTTTTTGACTTGTCCTATAACATGTACATGTTCTAATGGAAGAATAAAATACGATTTAGGTGAGCCTAATGCCAACTCTTCATATTGTATCTGGATAGAAGCATGGTCTAGAGCAGGGGTTGGCAAGGTTTACCCGCCATGGGCTGGATCACTCCCACGGAGATCATCTGTGGGCCGGACTGGCGCAGCGTGATGCCGGAAATTGCTTCTGCGCATGCCCAGATGCCGAAAATCGTGGCTGTGCAGAAGCGATTTTTGGTGTCTGGACATGCGCAGACGCGATTTCCAGTATCTGCGTGTGCACAGATGCAATTTCCGGCGCCACTCGGTGAGTCCCTGTGCCGTGCCAGTTTAATGCAAGGCGCAGGGGACTCGCCAAGCAGGCGGCTCGGTTCAGGGGCAGATTGTGGGCCAGTAAAGCAGTCTTCGTGGGCCGCACGTTGCCAACCCCTGGTCTAGAGAGTCATACCTAAGAACAACACCCTAAAACAATGCGATTATAATACATACGTTGCTCACAGACATGACACACTTCCATGGAAGCCTTGCAATAAGCATTTGCTGAGTGTCCAAGCCTTCCTTCCACAACAACTATTTCTGGCATTCAAATCGGTTTTCTAGAGGTAGCGGATCATTCTACATGGACTTCGGTCTGCTGGCGATTTACGTGTTCACTGTGTCTGGGGCATTTCATCCAAACGCTGCTTTTCATGTTTCCCCAAACACACAAAAGTATCCCTCCCAAGAGAGGCAAAGGAGTTTCCGCGTGTTCAGCACGGTGCAGCAGCCCTGAATCTCTTACCATTCAGATTCACTGGATGGCCCTGGGATCCAGAAATATGTGTGAGAGAAAAGCTTCTCCCTTGTTCACTTTCTGCACATCAAGCATTAATTGTATACAACTCTAGCATGTCCCACTTATCTCCTCCCCCCCCAAACTAAATAGCTCCAAACAAGGGAGTTGTTTCAGCCATGTGATCACTGGGCTGCCATTTTCTTAGTTCTACAATATCCTTCTAGTAGCAACCAGAACTATACAGAGTATTCAAAGTGTTGGTGCCCCACAGATTTGCATAAACCTGCTTCAATGCTGGCAATTTTATTTTCGATTCTTTTCCTGGTGATTCCTAGCATGGAATTGCCTTTTTCAAAACTGGGTCAGCCTCTTAAACTGAATAATGTGCCATGACCTTAGCATCCCTCTTCTGGTGTGCCATCACCAATCCCTCCCCCCAAATATTAGCTATTGGGATGGGTACTCTACTGATGATCCACATCTTGGTGGAGGGGATTAGAAGAAGCAGCATGTGGTCTTCTCTTTCCATGGTACAGGTGAAATTACTTTGCTCAATTCTTCCCAAGGAGAAGGGAGGCCACTTTGCACTGGGATCTGTAGACACTTAAAAGCAGCAAGAATTCGTATTGTGTCCTTCGCTTTTCAGCATCTCCAAAGCACAGCATGGCTCAAGAGGTAACGCTGAATGTGCTCAAAAGCGAAAGGACGACTGCTGCTGCAACAGCAGCAGTCGTCGCAAATCTTGGTGCACAGAGGGAAGATGACCCCAATCCTGCAAAGACCTCTGGAACTCAGGAAAGCAGAAGGGCTGTTCACTCTCCCGTCTAGACAAAAGCAAGTTTCCCCTCTGAGATTGCTACAACGCACAACAAACTCAGGAGAGGGGATCTTGCACATCATGCTTTCATCAGGCAACAGGTTGTGAGCACATAACTCATAGTCACCAAAGGAAGCTTGGTGGCTAGCTTCTCAAACCTACGCATTCGTTCCACTGGATTCAAAGGGCAGCCCTTACCATTAAAAAAAATCTCCCCCCTGGTTTCTTAGGGTAAAGATCCACTTCTGAAACAAACACACAAGGGGTTGCAGTATAAGTCTTGTGAAAGTTTCAGGCAATTCCTAGACTCAAGGTCTTAACTCCAGAAATTGTCACATGAAATTATTGTGTGTTTTTTTATTATTATTTAACTTTATATACCATCCTTCATCCAGAAATCCCAGGGCAGTTTACAATATAAAAACTTAAAAATACCACACCATAATATCCAACAAAAACAATACCCAGATACACCTGACAGACTTGCTGGAAGGGGTGGGGAGAGAAGACATATTGATTCCTTTTTCAGCTATGAACACCCAAAAGATTTCACTATCAGAGAAGAATTCTAAAGCTCCTTCCATATTGGCTCTATCTACAAAGAGGAAAGAATGTTGGTCTGTGGAAGAAAGTGGGTGAATCACGCTACTGAAAGAAACGAAAGCTCTACCGTGGAATCTTTTTCGTCATGTCATGTGGCTGAAAGCAGACAGATGGTACACAAGCGAAGATGTTTGCTGAGCATTCCTTCCTTTGTATCTCCCGGCGATGGCAACCACCCAAGTATAACACTCCCTACCCCATGCGAGGATAAAGACACACATTTAACCACTAGCACAGGCATATGGAGACAGCGTGTAATTCTGCAAAGGTTTGACCCCACATGATCCCAGGGAACGTTCCCCTTTAAAGCCGAGGGGTGGTATCCTCTTTCTTGCATGGTCCTTATGAGAGTTAATGTAGCATAATGGCAATGGGACTGAGAGCCAAACTACACATTATGTTAAAT